CATTATAGGATGGGTCAGAATTTTCTCATTGCTTTGATAAGAAGAGTACAAAATGAGGGTGCCACATGCCTCAACTAGTTGTAATTTGGTGATTTAGAAGCATAGGTGCCTTCAACTTCAGGATTCCATTGCATTGCAAATAAGACCTTTTCTAAGCTCCTGAGACTTACTGTGCTTGAAAGTGGAACTGCCCAAGGGATAAAGTCAAAACATGAAGTTTAGCAGTCAATAGATGTTAAGAACTGAGATTAAGAGACTAAAAACACATCCTCGGCTATGATATCATATGACTTTCAAAAGTATTCCATATAGTAGTATTTTATACAGCAATATTATCATCTGTATTTTACATATGATGAAAATGAGGCTCAGTGGGATTAAATGGCTTACCCAAGGTCACATAACTGATCAGTGTTAGAGTTGGAACTGGAATTAAGGATATCAGATTCCTAGTCTCTTACTTGTATTTTCATCTCATGCTGTAGACTCATGAGCCACTGAGCTTGGTTTCCTTTCAAATAATCATAGTTCTTCATTTGTTAATTCCCTGTGACAATTTTTGACAAAACTATACATATTTAAGTATATTGTTTTGTTTAAGCAGCACTTCTGGATGGATTTTAAAAATTGTATCTTAATCATCATCAAAACCATTGTGATTATTATCATTATCAGTGAATGTATGAGGATACAATGATAGTCTAACACAGATGCTGTCCCTGTCCATTACAAAGCTCATCACTTAAGCAATTAATCATACATATGTATACATAAAAATACAAGCTCTTTGACTCAGAGTTGCTGAGTAATAAGGAAGACTATCATAGGGAGAGTTGACAAGTCAGGCAAGGTTTTTTTGAGGAAATAACATTTGGGCAGAGATTTGAAAAATAAGTTGATATTAACAAGACAAAATGGGAGGCATAGGCATTCCTTGGGATTAAGCAATATGGAAAGCATGAGGGACTAAAAAGACACCAATATAGCTATAGGGGAAGAAATGAGATGAGTAGGGGACAAGATGAAGGACAATGTAGGCATGGGCCAGACCACGTGGAACTATTAGGTAACATTATGTAGTTTTTTTGTTTTACCCAAAGATCAACGGAAAGTCATAGTGTTAATCAGGGGGTATGATATAATCAAATTTTGATTTTTAAACAGCCACTCTGGCTAGAGTGTATAGAATGAGGTGGAGGAGACAGTAGGGTAACTATTGCTACAATACAAAGAGATGGATACAATACAAACTATTGCTACAACTATAGACAGTAAGGTAACTATTGCTACAATACAAAGAAGAGATAAGGAATGCTCAACTGGGGTTGTGAAAGTTGATATGGAGAAAAATGGACAGATTTGGAAACATAGGAGTGATGAAATCAATAGGGGTTGGTGAAGAACTAAATATGGTGGGTGATGGAGAGGGAGTCTTAGAGATGATGCCTTGGCTTTTGGTTGGCAACAATGAAACAGGCACAGTAGAATAGGAATGTTTTTGGAGGAAGTATTAAAAGTTTGGTTTCGACATGGGGAATTTGAGGAGCCTTTGAGACATCCAGCAGGAATTGTTTAGGAAGCAATTGGATGTACAGGTCTGGATAGAAATATATATATTTGCATGCCATCTGTGTATGAGGGTAATAGAAGGCATGGATGTGCAAATATTGTCTAAGAGAGTATAGTATGAGAAGAAGAGAGAACCTGGAATATAGCTTTTAAGAAATCTAACTTTTATAAGCCAGGTAGAGTAGGATATGCCTGCCAAGAAGACAGAATGGAGGCAAGCTAGGAGTACACTGCATCACAAAGTCAAGGGAGGAAGTTGCTTCAAGAGAGCGGAATGGTGGTTGCTAGGGACAGAGAAGAGGGGGGAAGCGGGGGAGTTGCTAATCAATGGGTATAAAGTTTCAGTGATGCAAGATGAGTAAGTTCTAGAGATCCACTGTACAACATTGTGCCTACAGTTAACAATATTGCATTGCACACTCAAGAATCTGTTGAGAGAATAGATCTCATGTTAAGTGTTGTTACCACAATAAAATAAAACTAATTTTTAAAAAAGAAGGGAAAAGAGACCAATAATGTTCAGGGCAATGGAAATGTCAAATACTATGACAACAGAAAAATATCCTTTGGACTTAGTTACAAGGAATTCATTGTTAAGGCTTAGTGAGAGCTGTTTCTGTGGATTGATAGAGCTGGAATCCAAATTGGAAAGAGCTGAAAAGTCAAATGAGGAGGCTAGGACGCCTGGCTGTCTCAGTTAGTTAAGCATCTGCCTTCAGCTTAGGTCATGATCCTGGAGTCCCTGCTCAGTGGGGAGTCTGCTTCTCCCTCTGCCCTTCACCCTGCTCATGCGCACGCATGCTCTCTCTCTCTCTCAAATAATAAAAATAATATAATAAAAAACCTTTAAAAAAGGAGGAGGCTAGACTAGATCCTCTTTAAAGTCCCTTCCAACTTTAGAATAGTAAATGCTGTGATTTCATGCTCCTGGTCAGAGCCTCTCTTTGTTATAGGTTTCCCTACTCACCTCACTCCTAGTTAATAAAAAGACTCTGCCATTGAAAGAAATGATTTGCAAAGACCGTGTTACTTTAAGCGTCATTACAGCCTCAAACTTGGGACAAATCATTCTCTTCTACATTTACATATATATTTTTTCTTTTGAAAAAAATCTTGAACACAAAAAAATTCTTATATGATTTTTCCATAGCATCAATTGAAGAAATATATTTCCAAGAATTGGTTTTATTTTTTGGGTCACAACTGCAGGGATAAAATCAGGTCTAGAGTTTCCATGTGGATGAATTTGGAAGTGAACGGCTTCGAAGCTGCAGTCCAGGGATGTCTCACACTACACTATACTATTTTCCTTTTAAATTGAATCACCTTTTCTGGGCTTTGAGAGCTAAAAAAAACACATCCAAATAATTGATTTTGTATGTAAGCAGAATGCTTGGGCACTTGCTGCTTTTCATCTAAAGAGAGGTTTCTATATTCTCACTGTCTTGGTAGGACAGAAATCTGATAAAAGGTCATATAGACTGTTGCTACTGAAAGTGAGATCGGTGGACCAGCAGCATCAACCTCAGCTAGGAATTTGTTAGAAATGCAGAATCTAAGGCACCACCTCAGACCTACTAGATCAGAATATGCATTTTAACAGGATCCTCAGGTGATTTATATTAACATTAAAAGGTAAAAAGAACTTAATTTTTTTCAGAATCTACTTTTTAAAAATATAGAATCCTTTGTTACTCTGCTATGATATTTAATTAATCCAAGGGCAGATTAGTCATTTATGGACTAAAAACTAATCATTCTGTTTTAAAATTAAGACCTGCAGTAGAGTGCCTAGGTGACTAACGAGATATATTTTACAGGCAAATAGTAGGTTACTCACCCAACTCATGGTAGAACATGTATTTTTCATTTCCCCTTACCACAAGCTGCTAATTACTTGCATTGAACTATTTATTTTTCCTCTTTTAGTAATAATAATATTTGTAAATTTACTTTGAAACAAGATTACCTGTCATGCTTTTGTATAGGATTTATAAACTTTCACTATTTTCTGTCTCCTTAGCCAGTTTAGGAGAACATCTACACTTTATTGCATGGACCTCCCTGGTGATTAACATCTGGAGTGGACTGATGAAAACTCAACCCTCAGTCGCACCCTTCCTTTCTGTTTCTTACATGAAGCCCTACTCTAACCTTTAATCAGGGCAGAAAAAGATTGCTACTGCCCTCTGCTGGCCTGTTGTATTTTTCCTCCTCTACAAGTTGACTTGAATAGGATGCCCAAGGATTTTGAGACACTGAAGAAAGCTCAGCGGAAGGGACTTTCTCTAGTAGAGAGGTAGAGATCCTTTAGGAGCAGACGGCTAAAATCAAACGAAAACACTCAAGGGGCGAGGAAGGCATAAAGGGCTTCTAAATTAAATTATTGATCCTCATGAACCTTTTTCTGCGCACGGATTTGTCTATGTCAAGAGAATGTCCCTTCCTCTTCAGCACAGGACTCCTCTTTTGCCTCTAGGTTCCACTGGCAAGGAGTGAACTACCCACTCCCCTATTATAATTTCGGTACTCCGGATTCTGTTTTCTGCTTCCACCAATTTCCCTTTCCCACTCCTTAACCGTATTCCCTTTTCTGCTTTAAACTCCCGTTCCGCCCACCCACCGACAGACTCGCATTTCTAGGGGTCAGACCCTAACCTCCTTCACCCTCCTCGTCCACCCTGACCTCTGCTCTCCCCTGATTGTCATCACACCCCCCTTTAGCACCCTTTCCCTGAACAGCAAGCCACTCTTTGCCTTTGAACATCAGGCTTGTCCCCTCTTGAATGCCTCTCCCCGACCCCCGCCCCAAGCGACTGAAAAAGGAAACATGCGCACTTCAGAGCTAGGAGCTGTCCGAGTGCTGAAATTTATAGGCTGGGTAAGATCACGTCTCCCGTCTCTTTCTGTAGCTCTCATTCCAGCACAGGATCTCAGCAATTTTGCCCTCTTCCCCCGTGCCCACTTGAGCGCGCAGAGTCCTTTCTTCTCTCTCATTTACAACTTCTTTTAAAAAGAGAACATTTTCTAGAGAAAAGGGATTTGCTAAACAGAAAGGACATAAAACAAAAGCCACAGCAACCCGACTTCCAGCATGGCATTGTCACCAGCCCCCTTTGCATGGTGATGCGATTAAGGTAGCGGCATTTTTATTATTCGGGAAAAGCAGCTGGGGAATCCATCAGTTCTAAGGCTTTGTCTTTCCTTGGTTAGCTGATGGTCCTGAGCCCCGGTTTGACCTGACCATGATGCCTAGGACTGGCACTTTTTGTTTTTTCTCAGCAAACTGTACAAACCCAAATCTCTTTTTGATTTTCAAGGAAACTAGATTCCTGCCAGATTTTGAATCTGGACAATAAATAGATACTTTGTCCTAGCTTTTTTCTGGAACCATTTCGGGGATATTTTCCACAAGCATCACAGAAACAGGAATGAACCGGCAGCTAGTGAACATTTTGACAGCCTTGTTTGCATTTTTCTTAGAGACAAACCACTTCAGGTAGGTGAAACGACTTTGCATGCTGATATTTTCCCCATGAAAACTGTTTGAAAGAGAACATGTCATACATTTTTTATCTATTTTTCTATGCCCTGGACCATATTATTTTAATTTTATAGAGGAGAGTTAGATTTCTTTTGTTCTTTTAAAAGGCGTAATTATGGTGGGAGGGTGGTAAATTTTCACAAAGGCAAGTTTTATGATCCATAACCCCACTCTATGCATTTTCACACATTTTCACAGGCAATGTGATATTAAGGAAGTCTAATGAGTTGCATGCTCTTTACATTTCTATATAATGATGATTTTTTTTGCTTTCAAATTCTTCTGAAAGTCATTAAAATGATTATTGGATGCAATGCTTCTCATATGGTGGAAGTGATTGGATTAATTTACAAGAAGCATGCTCATTTTATATAAAATATAAAAGAACCCTAATTCTTAGTCAACTTGAAACTTCTATTGTGTTTCAGCAACTAGATGCATACTATGAGCACTACAATTCAGGAAATTTCTTGAAACATCAAAAATATTTAAAATCTCATTTTACCACTATGTTCCATTGCTCAGTATATTTGGGAACTGAATGACTACCAAAATTTAATTAATATGACATCTTTGTATTTATCTGTGCATGAGAAATGGGCTATGCATAATTAAAATAAGTGGGAAATCATTATATCATGCATGCATTTTCTACCTAGTTTATAAATTATCAAATCAGTTTATGCTTCAAAGTATCAGATGATTACCAGTAAGTGAAATAGCCATCCTAATGGCAGAGGTTCTAAGACAGCATGGAGACAGGAGATGTTCATACAACAAAGTATAGGACTCTTCATTTAATTTTCACCAAATTTTATGGTATTTTTTCACAGAACCAAGAGAAATGGAACATATAGCTAATGTTATGAGTACTGGGAAAACCCACTATGTTCCTTTCAGGTTCACACCTACTATGATTAAGAAAAAACTGTAGGCTGGGTTTCATTAGAAGCATCATCACCATCATCATCATCATCACCTTCATTACCACCACCACCACCATCATAATTAAATAATATTTGATTAATCAGATGAATCTGCATATGGGAATGTGAGTATTTTTAGATAATTGTATCAATTTTTAACTCTTACCAAATGTTTAAATTCTCTTTGCACTTAATACTTTGCATTTAATACTACCTTGAAAAACTGGCAAATATGTGGTGTTTTCTCAGTGATAGAATTAAGATTATTTGTTAAACTACTAAAAACGAAGCTTATAAAATATTATGCTTTAGGGAAGAAAAAGACATTCAGTCAATCACTATGTATATTGTGAAAGAATTCATTTCACTACAAACCAAATAGGCTCTTTTTATAAGCCCTTTAAAGAAAATGAAAGTATGAGAAATTTTCCAGTCAACATTTAGTGTTTTTGATAATGCAGAAGAGAAAATGATTTAGAAGTTCTTTTTCATGAATACTTTACTGGAGAGTGAACAATTTAAATGCTAATATATAAATAACATCTGATAAGGTAATAGAAGTACAGACACACTTATTATTGACCTATTTTAGAATGAAGTTAAATTTCCAAGTGAAGCTTTTCTTTTAGGCAATGCATTGAAAATTATTAATAGTTGATAGCAGGAATACAATCTAGTAGGTGAGAAAATAAGCAATGGAATAATTAGTTCACTGTTTACTTTGTTCTGCCCATTGTATTATATATTTCTAATAAAAAGTAGAGGACTTATATTAAGGGCTAAAATGCTGGAAGAATTGTTTGAGAGTCATGGGGGAATGATTTTAAGACAATCACATTTTAGAAATTATCATCTTCATTTCTCTGATGAGTCTAGGAAGAAACAGCTTTAACTATATGTCCATAAAATCTACAACATAAGCTATGCTTATGTTGTATCATCTTAAACATCTTTATGGCTAGAGTTTGGACATCTGGGAGATATGACTCAGGATTTCTAACTCTCACCATTTAAAGTTAACTTTAGAGAATGTACAAATTCAGAAGTTGACCATAGAGTGTGTAATTTTCTTTTTCTTCTTACTATCATGTATATTAACAAAACATAATGTCAAACATTCTGTGAGCCTTAGTTCTCAGGCAATGAGAATGGAATTGTTGCTAAAAAAGTTAATGATGTGTTTAGGACGGCTTTCTGCAAAGACCATGACTCCAGGTCTGGAAAACAACCTTCACAGACCCTATCGCCTTCAGATTTCTTGGACAAATTAATGGGAAGGACATCAGGATACGATGCAAGAATCAGGCCAAATTTTAAAGGTAGGTTCCATTTAAATTTATATTAAGGCTGTGGGAAATCTAGATGTTTGAATAATCTGAAATAAGTTTTAAGGGCTTTTTATTATAAAATAGTATAGTATTCATTTCATTTTGGCATTCTTTTGAGCTAGCCAATTTAATAGTTTGAGTTTTATATATTGTTTGCCACTTTTGAAAACTTTCCTCATTTGTATTCTATTCCACAAAGAAAACTAATATCAGAGATTATTGCTACATTCCCTATTTTATCTTAAGTGGGAGTGTGACTAGAAATGACTCCAAGAGTAAATGATGGATTTGACTTATATGAGTGTCTACCAGGATTCATACAAGATTCAATGATTATTCAAAATCTTTGGTTTTCGTTTTGAATACCTACTCCCAAAGTGAAGTTTAAATCTCAATATAAAACATGCCATTTTACACACTTTCAGGCCTCTCTCATTTTTCAACATTGTGGCAAGAGACTCTAATTGAATGTATCAGAAATTTTTGGTTTCTTTTTGTTTAAACATTTTAATTGTTTATTTGAAATTGTTTATCTAAAATTAACAAAGATCATAGAATTGTAAAGTGCACATGTCAAAGATGGTGGATACTTCCTTTGTTCAATTAGAAAAAAACCAAAAAGTTTGATGTTTTTGTTTATTTAATGTTATAAAAATGTAATTAATCATCTGTAGAAATTACTTTTTATCTATTTGGTTTATTTTTATATGAAATAAGAACAAATTATTAATGAATGAATTATTTTTGATGGTTTAGTTTTTAAATACATATTTTAAATGACAATTGCATTTTATCTTGTAATTTAACATAATGCATTGTGGAGTGTTTATAATATCTTATAAAAGAAGAATCCTATAATATTCTAGATATTATGTTGTAATTCCATTGCTTTGATTTTGCTTGTTAGCGATTTAATTAGATTGCTTTCCTTGAGTTTTGATTAATTTTTATTATTGGCAAATATGAGCATGAAAACTAAATTCTAGATTCATTTCTTCTTTAAATGCTATACCTCTGAATATACCCAGCTAAGGGCACATTTTATAAAGAGCTATGTCATAGTTTTGACAAAACAAGTATATCTGATTTATAGAGTATTTCCAAAAGAAACAACAGATCTAAGTTCAAAGCTCAATTTTCCTGAAAACAATTTTCATGCTCATCCTATTTCATAATAATTTTGTGGTCATTGCTTTGGAAGTCAACATTTGAAATAAAATCCTATGAGTAACAAGTTGAGAATGAGCTTTCAGTGGGACCACTCATTCCTATATTTATTCACTTAGTCATTCAATAACTTCTGAGTCTGAACTATATGGGAAATACCAACTACTGCATGCATTGAAAAGTTGAGAGATGAAACAGGTTTGGGTGTTACTGTCAAAAATTTTAGTGGGGAGAGTAGATGTTACATGAATAGTTATAAATTAATATACATTATGAGACAGAAATAAGTAGTTAAGTAACATTAAGAAGTACAGAAAAAATGCTACAGGGTTCCAACAAATGAAGAGATGATTTCCTATTAAGCTATTCATGGGAGGTTTCATAGAGAAGGCCCAGAGATGGAAAATTGTTTCAAGTTTATGAGCCTCTTGTTTAATAGCAGCTATTATTCATTATATTCTAGAAGTCACTTTTCAAAAGGGGAGAAAAATGCAGAGTAATAAAACAAACACCCATGTTGCCATTGCTACTTTAAATGACCACATAGAATGAGCAATCATTTTCACACAGCTTTTTTTCTGGTTCTACTGGGGATGTCACCTTTTGGAAATGACATTTCTCATGATTCTAAAGGATAAATAAATGGAGAGAATATCAAGTATAGGAAAGCATGGCCATGTTTTTGAGATCTTTCCACTGCTTAAAGACCTGAGCACAGGATGTTTTAAAGACTTATAAAAGGGAAATGGGGTAGATATCCTTTAAGACTTGAACATTAATGGACTTCACTGAGTTTTGTCTCCCACTCCTTTTAACTCTCCACATTAATGAACCCTGATCCTCTTTCATAAATTTTATTTACATGAACCATTTATATCAGATTAATTACCTAACAGCTCCCACAAGTCTCTTTATTCAGAGAATCTTAGCTCTTCCTAGATGTAAAACATTCCCCATTATTTTAGAGTAAAATAATTTTAACTCCTAGGTATTCCCATGAAACTTTATATGTCTAATATGGTTCTTTTGCATATTTATGTTTTATCAACCCACCCAACACTGCATCTGAGAAGGCAGGAATATATATATATAGAGAGAGTTTTATATATATAGAGAGAGAGAGGGGGGGGAGTGCGTTATATATATTTACACACACACACACACATACACACACACAAATACGCACACATAAACAATGTAGGGAAACGAAGTCATTCTTTTCTCCGGAATGAGGAAATAAGGACCAAGAAATAGATGAAAATGTAGATCAGTTATGAAGATTAGTGCTTCCAATTAGTTGTAGTAGAAGTTGAGGGTAGGAACTTTTGAGGAACCAACCAGTGGTCACAGTGACTAGCAAAGATGATCTTAGCTGAGCTGAGGAGAAAGAAATAAAAGAGATAATAAGGAACTTGTAACAGTGAGGATGCTAGGAAGAACACTATAGTACTTACTGTAACTTAGTATAGTTGATTAGCAATGTACCAATGAGAAATTTTATATAGTAGGTAGAAATTAAGGGTGATTGGGAAATGTGACTGTATCTGGAATAGTGACAGGCATGCTGTAAATGCTAAAAAAAAAGCCCCAAATTGCTATGATAACAATAAACATGATGATGATGTTGAAAACAACAATAATAATAATTAATAAGACAGAAGGGCAAGATCTGACCACAAAAATAAAAGGAAGAGTGAAATATGGGCTCTTGAGGTAAAGGGAATGGCTTTTCTAGATGTATTATTAAATATTAGTTCTTCTCTGTTTTCCTTGCTGCCATACACTGGCAAGGGAAAAGGAAATGCATATGCATAATTCTTCTTATTGGAAGGAATCTTTCCTGAATACTTTCAAGTCAGTAAAATATTTCATGTCTATTCCATATCTCTGATGGACTCTGAAAGATGTCATAATGGGCACATATACAAGAAGAAAAATGGACGTAAGCTAGAAAAGGGGACCAGAAATGAATCAGACTTAGGCTCTGTAATTGAGAGCCATTCTTAGAAACTACAGGGAAAAAAATAGCTTTTCTGATGTGCTGAAGCACAAGTGTATAAACAAAGTCATGAGTCAGAGTTGCCAATTGCATTCCATCTGTAAGATCCATAGAGACCTGGGTCAGAACTTGTCAAAACATAAATTTTCAAAATCTTCAGTTCAGATGAAAACACAAGCTATGTCCATTCACAATTACCTGGTTCTGAAACCATGGTAAATATTGATTCTATGTCAACAGAGGGGCCACTTTCCCCACTTGGGTGATTTGTCTCATTGTCAGTTGATTTATCATGGTGTTACTCCATCATTCTATCAGATACTCCTTTGTCAGTGTTATTGTATCTTGAGAATGCCACTTTAAACATTAAGCTTTTAAGGAGGCCAAATGAAATGCTCAAACCTGGGCAAAATGCATTAGTTCCAATTCTGTCTCTTTGAAACAAAGCCTTTATCTATTTTAACGAAATTTTCTTTGAAAATAAAATTAACTTAGAGTTATATCCTAAGTTTCATCCCAATGTGAATAAATACATTCCACTATAGCATTCATTTTGGAATAGAATCTGGAATGGATAATGCCAGGAGATAATTATTCACTCCACTTCTTTGTGCATGCCATGCACACTAATTTTTTTCTATGTCTGGAGACCTAAATTTGAAAGTGTGATGTGTGACATTAAAACCTACATTTGCATGCAATATGGTTTCCTTCATTTTCTAAGGAGTTATCAGCTCAAGAGGTGTTTCAGATACAAGTAGAAATAGATCCACTTTCAAAAAAACTAGAGGTTCAGTTTTCTCCCCTTGGAAATTCTATTTATCGTCTGTAGCCAAGTGGAACTCAAGCTCAAATGTTGTGCTTGCCAATCCCTGTAGGGGGTGGCTTGAGCACAAATGTCCAGCAGAGACATTTGGAAAGGGTGATTCTCACAGTTAGTGATAATGCAGCCCCAGCATGATCATTTCTTTGATCACCCTAGTAGATGTGGGCATCGGATGTTACTATGGATTCTGAGAAAAAGAACAGAATGCTTGCAAGTATCAGAAGTATTTGACTTGAGTGCAGGAAGTTACAGAAAGTGTGCAGCCATTTTAGAACAAGACAATAGGAGATAAAAGGGGGAAAGTATTATTGAAATGAAAGGCTGGAGGTAACAAAGGGAACTTTATATATGAGAGTTTTGTTCAGAAATGACACTGATGAAGATTTTTGAACATCTGAAATCCATTGGCTGTGTCACAATTTAGCTTTTCTCTGCTTTATGAACACCAACCAACACATTTGTATATACTAGGCTGCTACTATGGGCCTACAAGATGCTTATCGGGGATTTGAGGTGACATCAGGAAGGAGACATCTAATATTCTAATAGACTCTGGCAAAGTATATGTTTTACATTCCATGGTGACAGAGTAGTATAGTGGAAAGAGTCCTAGACGTGGATTCAGAAAACCCACGTTCATGTCCTTTTTGAGAAAAGGTATGTTCACCTCTCCATGCTTTAGGCTTTCTTCTGCCTTTGCCCATTTCATCTCAGTTATTCTGAGCATCAAAGGAGATCATGCATCTGAATAATTTGTTTTTAACTATTAAGTTTATTGCAAATAATTTAAATTATTAGTCCCTATTACTAGTCCCTCATTTCTCTTTTGTAACTGACACTGCTGATATATTGTCAAAGCTAACCCTTTATGGTGCTTGGGGCCTTATAATTGCTTGATTTTTTTTTAATGGTAAAAAAAAAAAACAAGTCAGAGGGGCGCCTGAGTGGCTCAGTTGTTAAGCGTCTGCCTTTGGCTCAGGTCATGATCCCAGGGTCCTG